GCAGGATGTTAAGGTTGTAGTATTTTTTACAAGAGAAAGCTCCGGTACACTTCCACGCCCGCGACGCGCGTGTGCACTTTGTCGCATTTTTTGCAATGGAATATGAACATGGACACATCTTGCAAGAGCGGGATTTTAAGGATATAGTATTTTTTGCAACACAAAGCTCCGGTACACTTCCCGGCCCGCGACCCGGCCCGCGATCCGGGTTGGGCACGATGTATTGTAAAAAATAGGGGATTCTGATAAATGAAATTCGCATGATCAGGATATAGTGTTTTTTGCATAGGATGGATGGGGGTTCGTTTATCGGGTCGGTCGCGATCCATTGTAAAAAACATCGTTTTCAGAGCAAGCAGAGAGCGCATGATCAGGAAATAGTATTTTTTTGCATAGGACGGAGGGCGGTTTACATAGCGCCCGTTTTTCAAGGATTTAGGGTTTATTAATAAGAGATTAGAGATTTAGGGTTTAGGGTCTAACAGGGCAAGGCCAAGAATACCTACCCGCATAGGCACCCACCTGCGGCGGCTATCAATCCCCCCCGCATCTCCACCCCCACATAAAGATCATCTCTCCATTCAAGTCGTACAGGGGGAGGGTCGATTGCATATAGTCGTACAGCCCGAGAGGGGTTCCGTGCGTGCCCGCTCGCAGATGGTGAGGATATGATCGATTGCATATAGTCGTACAGCCCGAGAGGGGTTCCGTGCGTGCCCGCTAGCAGATGGTGAGGGTATGCATGGGTCGATTGCATGTAGTCGTACAGCCCGAGAGGGGTTCCACGCGTGCCCGCTCGCAGATGGTGAGGGTATGCATGGGTCGATTGCATATAGTCGTACAGCCCGAGAGGGGTTCCACGCGTGCCCGCTCGCAGATGGTGGAGGTATGCATGGGTCGATTGCATATAGTCGTACAGCCCGAGAGGGGTTCCGTGCGTGCCCGCTCGCAGATGGTGAGGGTATGCATAGGGAAAGTGCACATCGGAGACGATGGGTGATCAGGATGTAGTGGTTTTTGCAATAGATCGTGAGGGTTTGCATGGCGGGTCGGGCAGGATATAGTGATTTTTCATAGGGAAAGTGCACATCGGAGACGATGGATGATCAGGATATAGTGTTTTTTTGCAATAGATGGTGAGGGGTTTACATGGCGAGCCGCGAAAAATCAGGAAATTAGGCTTTAGGGTTTAATAATAATAAGATTAGAGATTTAGGGTTTAGGGTTTAGGGTTTAGGGTTTAGGGCTTCTCTTAGCGCAGCGGCCGACAGTTCAGGCAATGCTGCCCCCCCTTCGGCAAGCTTGATTGGGGGGGCGGTTAGCCGACCCGAGCAAGCTTGGCGAAGGGAGCAGGAGTTGCAACATCTTCCCACCCCCGGCCGCATGGCCGGCGACCTCCCGAACTAAAGCCTTTTAGGGTTTAGGGCCGCTGGCCCCTAAATTCCCAAATGGCTCCAAGCGCTCCCAGGCGCTCCCTGGCGCTCCCAGGCGCTCCCAGGCGCTCCCAGGCGCTCCCCGGCGCTCCCCGGCGCTCCCAGGCGCCCCCAGGCGCTCCCAGGCGCTCCCCGGCGCTCCCCAGCGCTCCCCGGCGCTCCTTGGCGCTCCCAGGCGCCCCCCGGCGCTCCCAGGCGCACGGCGCTCCCAGGCGCTCCCCGGCGCTCCCAGGCGCTCCCCGGCGCTCCCCGGCGCTCCCAAGCGCTCCCAGGAGCTCCCAAGCGCTCCCGGCGCGCTCCCAGGCGCTCCCAGGCGCTCCCAGGCGCTCCCAGGCGCTCCCAGACGCTCCCAAGCGCTCCCAAGCGCTCCCAAGAGCGCCCAGAAGCGCGCAGAGCGGCCCACACGTGTTTTTACGTGTCGGAGAAGTAGGAACCCCACCCGAGGACGAAAGGTCCCCGGGTTTAGGGTGTTGTACTCTTCGAGGATCAGGAAGAGTTTATCTTTGAATCGCGACTCCCAAGGGGCAGCCCACGGCTGCATGGGCGACCCAGTCTGGCAACCCGCTGAAGTATCTCAGAGATGCCCTGTCTCTCGTAGACGGCGACGGTGATGCGCGGTGGGGTGGGCAGAAGCACAACGAGGTGCTTGGGAATTTAGGGTTTAGGGTTTAGGGTTTAGGGTTTTTCTGCGCAGAACCATCCTATCCCCCCCTCCTCAGGAGGTAGGGGGGGATGGATGGATGCGTTCTGTCCCACCCCATCCACCCAGAGTCATTGCTTTTAGGGTTTAGGGATCTACCTCCCACGCTCCCCCCTATCAAGGGGGGAAGGAGTGCTGGCGTCAGCCTGAGTGAGTGATGTGCGTCCCAGAAACAGATATGTCAGCATTAGCGCGATTCGAGAGTCGTCCTTCGCGAAAGTTACGCGCGCGACCGCGACCCTTGCGGGTGCAGAGTCGCCCGCGTAGCCTTCCCCAGGGGCCGCCGCGTGGAGGCTGGACGTGGCCCCCTGGGTTTCCGCGCGGCAGTGGGCGCCGCGCCGCGCGTGGAGTCCGACGGGCTTTCTCG